GTTGGTCCCAGGCACCGAGCCCATGCTACAAGAGATAAGCAGTGTATTTCATTGAAAACACAAAATCTTTCTTTAAAATGATTACATTACTTACCTTGATACAAGTCAGAACAACGAGTAGCAATTTCCCACAGGATTAAGCCTAATGCATACATATCAACTTGTTTCAGAGAGGACTCACAATCCCTTAAATTCACAGCTCCTTCAAGGGCTTCTGGGGCCATATATCGCAGGGTTCCAACCTGGAATACTTAAATCATTGAGTACAAAGTTTCACTGAACTTTTGTTTTTATTGAAAGCATCAGAGTTAAAAAGAATTTACTGACAAAAGTTAAAGATAATTATTATAACACTTTGCAGCTATAGTGTCTTCACATTAAGCATTAAGAGTACAGTGGGTCCCATATGTTTGAACTGTTTGTGCCATTGCTAACTATTATTGCTCAGTTGTAAAGAACAACTTTGGCAGAAATGGCACTGTACAAAAACAACATATCTGAATTCCAATCACCCATTTTTTCCTGAACAGTCATCACTTTGGCAACATCTACAGACAAAATCTCAAATTTTGGTTGGGTTAAAACTGAAGAGATGGAATAAAAGCAGAGAATTTTCTGACTTACACATACTTTACCATATATCTTTATTTAACAGATATTACATTTTCGAATGTGTATAACCATATGCAGATGCATGTTGAATATAAAATGCTGTCTGAACAGATTAACAGTTCAAATGTGTCAGTACACTCGATATGTTAACTTAGTTATAACTTCAAAGGCAACATTAGTGTTTGAAATAAGAACTGATAAGTTCACCAAATATAACAAAGTATTTGAAATGGTGATTAAAACAAAAAACTTGAAATTCTGGTGACTCAATTGTCTTTTTTACTCTTTTTTTTTCTAGCTGATGCATTTCTAAGTTTAAAATTAATGTTTCATCATGTAAACCGTCAAAATTTGGGAGAAGTCGATTGATTATTTATGACTGCTTTAAATATTTTATACTGTCAATAATGTAGAAACTGACACAAAAGAAGCAACAAATTATTTCAACTTTTCTCGCTTGCTCCAGTCTTTTATACCGCACTCAATTGCCTTTGGCAATATCTGTCCCATGACAATCTCCACCTACATCAATGCACCCTCTATCCTGGTCCTGTATATAAATACGTACCTCATTCAGATAATTTTATCACTTTTTCAAGACTGACATCATCCCATTCTCTAACACCGGGGAGGAAGGGCAGGAGAGTGTCAGGCGAGGTAAGTATTATTGGAAATACATTTTTAATTTAGGAAAATGTTAACTTCCAATACATACCTCTGCTGACACTTATAGCTAGAATCCCACACTGAGAAGGTGGGGCCGGTGAGGACATTATCCATACAGAAAGCATCTACATAGATGTAACAAGATAAGATTGGTACCTAAGTGGAGGAACCACCCTAAACTTAGTTCCTGTATCAAGGGTGGAATTGTAGAAGTAATCATCATTATATGCCAGCCCCAACCAGAATGCCGAGAGTCCACTACTAATGGTTGGAATTAAGGGGTCTTGGTCCCTATATCCCACATTGGTTGCTAGGGCAATTCAACCACAACATTAAATATATACAGACTACTGATTGAATCCCAACATGTAGCCATAAAGTGATGCATTCTGAACCACTGAAATCACAACAAGAAAGCAGCACCAAAGTGGACAAACCTTCTCCTCCACGGATTGTGTATGCTTTACTCAACCAAAGGAACAGAACTCATCAGTCTGGAATTACAAACATTCATCCTCATTTCCCGAGTGGGCAAGGAGAATTCCACTTGCCCCCAGAATTACGGGGAAGATATGGAACAACTGTGCTCAAGCAAGGACCCAGGATGGGACAACTCCCAATCGAGAAGGAATGGGTAACAGACTAATTGGGGAGGAAGGCGTAGAGGTGAAATCCCATCCAGTCTTGACTGAATGCATCTGTCATCAAAGCTCAAGGATGAGGTACCAGGGACCATCAGCCATTCCATCATATCAGCCTCCTAGCTTGCCATGTTCTGGGGGTGATGTATTTGATAGCAATCATCTGTCTCAGTCCAACCAAATGGATGCTACATTGCTTGGTTTTCCAGTGGATTTTCTCTCAGTTTGGGACTCTGATGATTGATGCATTCGCCACTCAATGGAACTCTCAACTACAGGCATTTCGTGTTTATACTATTCAAACAACATACACAAATAAATTCGCTAACTGGCTACTTAATTATTTCTCTTTGCAATCATGGTATGTTTAACCCTATGTGAACAGTGCTAGTGCTTTGCATCAACCCAGTTTCTATAAAGCTATTGACAGAAAAAAATATTATAATTCTGAATTTACTAAGTGTATCTTCATTTGGGTAATAAGTAATGAAATGCAAATTCTCAATCCAAATATGCTAACCACTAGGTATATGCCTAGAACATTGAACATACAAACTGTGTGTGTTGTGAATTTCTTCTGCCTTGGTTTGCTGCTATTGAGATGACATTTTGGGATCAGAGTTCTTCACCAGATCCTCAGCAAAAAGCCCAGACTGTTATCTCAAAACATAACCAAGGCAAAGGAAGTCCATAAAACATTATATAAGTATAAAAACTCCAATCATTACTATTTTCCCAATATATTATTTTTTGATAAAGAAACTTTTCAGATAACAGAAAGACTAAGGTTTGTTACACATATTTATCTTGAAGTGAAACCTTGAACTGTACTATATGTGTTTTTGTGTGCAGTTTAGTTTTTATAAAACACTGTCAAATCAGCCTTACACAATTCACATTTAAATCAACAGCAATAATAATAATCTTTAACAGTAATTCCTAAACATTTACAGAATATTTTATAATAATAATAGTAAAAAGCTGTCATGAGTAAATATTCTTAAGACTTGTCAGATAAAGACTAACACTACTATAAAATAGTAATCTTTCTCAGAAACCAAATTTCACAAGGAAACTTACATCTGTAAGACACAATGAATCCATGTCTTGTTGTTCACCATTCTGAGTGCATTTGGGCCCAGCAATCTGAATGGCAAATCCAAAGTCACATATAATGCAAGAAAGATCATCATTTACTAAAATGTTCCGAGATGTCAAGTCTCTGTGGGCAATACATGGTTTTACCAGATCTGTAATAAATGTTGTAAAACATCATAAGAAAATAGACAAAGTCTACATTTTCTTTAACCAAGCAGCTTTAGACTATACAAGATATTTCAAATCCATCAAAAGTCTTGAACTTGCATCATTCAACTATTCAATTAAAAACTCAATAACTTCAGACATATTTTTGAGAAATCATATTAGCAGTCAAATACCAATATTTTACAGCCTCCATTAAATTTACATACATCTGTTTCTCTTTGTTTTATCACTATATATTTGAATTGTTTCATCACTTATGCATTTTCTTGAAAAACATTTGGTTCAAAATTATACATTATAAACAGATTGTTGACAAAAGTGCAAGCTCTTACAATATATTCTGTTTACATTAACAGTCATGTTTGTCAAATTAAACACATAAAAACAATGACTGACATGTTAACCAAAGAAAGTTGCATGAAACTGATACACTTGTATTGTGAAATGAAGTTGCTCAGAACACCACCATAATATTCCACAAACAAAACCAAAACAATTCAAGCTCTCTACACTTCAGTGTAACACCTGGTTATAAAATCTAATGAGTCCAGCAGTGATGTTGAGAAGATATCCCTAATTATGGTCAGGACTGCAACAATGGTGAAAATATGGCCTAGCACTGCATGACAAAGCGGCTTTAGCCACATGACCTTTTGGTACATTTTGAACCGAGGAAAGTTTGTACTTAGCTGTAATTACAACAAAAATTCAGTGATGATGAATCTGACCTACATATTGCTACTAAAATCGTGAGGAAACAAGGCTAAACATCTTAACTTCACCTCAATGGCATTCTAAACTTTAACCCATATTGTTAATTGGATCAAAGCTGTAACAGTACTGAGCATTAAATCAGATGGACCATACCAATCCTGGTAATACAATGAGGGTGCCATTCTTGGTAAACATATCTATGCCCAAACTGCTTTGATGATAACATTTTATCTGATATGTATCCAAAAATGTTGTCAAATTAACTGCTGAAGCAGCTGGATAAATTAGCATACATTTTGAATGCTTAGCTCCCTACTAATTATAAATTAGTTCCTGAAATGTTTGAAAATTAAACATTAAATTATGATTGTTGTTTGAATGCTACAAACATCTGACTTAAAACTATATAGTCATACAATTATTCTTGTTAAGCAAATACATAGAGAAATATAAAACCAACAAATTCATAACTTAGTGGAATAAAGTATTAATGTTCTTTTTAATTATGTTATAACAGCTGCTACTGTGTGTGCGTGTGTATATATGTATATGTATATATATATATATATATATATATATTTATTTATTTATTTATTTAAAGGAAAATAACAAGCCCAAACAAAAATTCAATTAAAGATGTTGCATACATTAAAAGGATCCCTAAGGTACAGACTATAATGTGGGATATAAAATGTGCTCTGGATTTTGGAGGTGACTGCAGAAGTAGGACCCACATTGCGGTGGGGATACACCATCTATCAGTCTTAACCACCCACATTTTACTCTCCTAATTTCTATTTCTCTTGATTATTTTATTTTGATGAATTTTTTCATGTGAGACTAGCAAACCGACCTCGTAACCATCTAAAATACATTGAAATAAAGCTAAATTAACTTTTTTTCTTTCTAGAATGGCTTAAAATAGGGATGATAACATGCTAAGACAAAATGTGTCACATGAGTCACACTAGTGGAAATTAAAGATTTTAAAAATATTTCCTTGTAGAATTACGAACTTAAAACTTGTATACTATTGAAATATGGATTATTAGCTAAGATTTTATGCTATTCCTAATTGGTATAAGATAAACAAAAAGTAGTCTAATAAAATTTTGAATGTAAGACACAAACCTTGTGTCATGCACAGTAAAGGGTACCCGAGGTGATAGGGTTAAACAGACCTGGGCATTTACAAGCTAAGGTGTGGCTCATGCTTAGTGATGAATTTGAAAGAGCCTTCTCTCTCTGTAAGGTATCTCAAAAAATGAACAGCAGGATCCCCAACTTACTTTAAGTGAGCTTACCTTTCACTTATTTCAATTTATACTTGTTTATAAATCTATAAATTATAGCCATTTCTTTAGTTGCATAAATGAATGGCTTTCTACCAAACTGTATGTCCATTTTTTCCCAGAAGCATGATCCTTCTTCAGAGTAACCCAGTTTCTGAAGTCATTTTTCAAACCTTAATTAATAGTGATATTTCCGATGCAATCAGCTATATGAATTATTCACACTTTTATTTAACCACATGATTGTAATATTTGTTGAAAAGTGGTGAAAAGTATATTTGCAGCAAAATTAAAATGCCACTACATAGGTCAGGGTTTATGATGTTTGAACCTTGAATTTAGATTGTTTACAGAATGCCAATTTTAAACTGGAGTATTCCGAACAATAAAAAATAACACAAAACATTAGAACATATTAATTTACCACATTTTCTTTAATTCTGTAAACATCTCTAAAAATGTATAGCCTAAACAAGCTCATAAACATAACACACTAACCTCCTTTGCAAATATCAGAATGAAGATAAGCAAGTCCTTGAGTAATTGTCTGCATCATCTTACAAAGGGTTGGCCAATCAACTGTGTGGTTACGCAAATAGTCTTGCAAGCAGCCATTAGGAGCATATGAAATCACAAGTAGATATTCTATTTGACTATCTTCACCAATCCTCTCTTCTGACCCTAAAACCATAAACTATGCTGTCAAAAAACAGTCAATAATGTTAATTCATCCTTTATGTTTTACTTTGGCTCCCCCACATACTTGATTAGATCAATAATTTTTAGTGTTCGAAAATCATATACTGTTAACATAATTTTGAGTGCTTTTAAATCTGTTTTTAAAGCAAAATACACATTTCCAAGTTACTGCTATCACAGACAACTCTGCATATTGTTGTTTCTTCTTACAAGATGTTGCTACAAATTATACTTGTGTCTTAAAATTATATTTAAGAAAGAGAGTACAAGGAAGAGCTCATACAAGTAATGTAAGGTATCAATCTTAAAGTTTGAGATCACTTTCATTTTATTCCTTAACACCAGATCATGTTTCAATGTTAAGGTCTTGATTAAGACTATTGCTCTTTATAAATATCTCATTCAATGAAGTTTGTATTTCAACACAAATAGACTGAATGTTTGTTTGATTTATTTGTGCAAACATACACAAGAGCTGTGTGGTAGCTGTTCCTCATTCTGAACTGACTGACTAGAAAGAAGGCAGCTAGTCAACAGCATTCCCCGACAACTCTTGACCCAATAAAATTAAATAGTGAGAGTTGGCCATCACTCTTACAGCCCACCCAAAGTACACAGCACAATTTTGTACTTAGGGAATGAATCACAGACCCTCAGAATTGCAGTTTGCAATGCTAACCACTAAGCCATATATGGCCTGATGAAAACAGTAAACAGATCTATTGTAAAGATGGAAGGTTGATATAACAATATTGAATCTAAAAATACTTGTGGTTAATAATAACTAGGAAATTTATTATTCAATCACTTTCAATTGCAGAAAACAACTGAAAAAAGTGCTTATTATAGAATTATTAGAAAAGCTAGGAGAACATTTACCTGGAAAGTAAATCAAGAAATTTACAAATTTGTTGAACATTTGGATAAAATCTACTTAAAATGCCAAAACTTTTTTCATATTTTGTGACAAACACAACTGTAACTAACTCACCTGTATAAAGCTTTCTCTAGCCAACCAAACTGCAATAAATTAAATATCTGTCCTTAATGTGTTAGGCTTTAAATTTTTGTTGTCCACCTTTCTCACACTAAATTTAAGGGACTTCAAATAAGATCCATTTGTACTCTTTTTGTTTTCTTAAAGTTTTCCTCAAGAGCATTGCAGTATAGGTATAACTTGTTATTTCAACAGAATAGTAAAGTCTTGCTGTAATGATAATTGTTGTAAGAAATATTTTCTTGGTTAATCAAGAGCAAATATCACATAGTTAGTCTTATACTTAGATCAACATAACATGCTAAAAATAACTGCTCTGATTTGCATATTCTGATTATATTTAGCTATCTCTTTCAATAGTTATGATGTAAGATGTCATAGCTTAAAAGAAGTGAAAAGCCAAAAACAATAAAAGAAATTATACAACTACAAATTTCTAAAATGTATTATTAGTTTTCCTATGCTGTCTTAAACAAATGGTCATGTATTTTGTAAAAATATCATAGCTAACTAAATGTTATCAGGTTTTATAACACTCATTACAATTAATATACTTATACAAACTAGATGTACTTCCACAGGGTCCCAAAACTGTTCTGTTTCAAGAGTAACAAATGTTTTCATTTCTTGATTTTGAAGTTCATATGTCATGTTGTGTCGTAGCCTACAGAATGCATAATTCTTCTTGTGATTCATGGCATGCGCACATTTTACTGACGTCACAGCAATACAAATTGCAACATCCCTTATGTGATGTCTTTTTAATGTGTACTGACTGAATGGTGCAAGTGGTTAAAACATACAACCTTTCCAAGTGGCCTTTGGCCCCTTTCATAGAAATAAGGTACTGCATAAACATTTCCTCTAAGTGAAGAAGTTAGAAAAGGCTATTATGTTCAGTGTTATACACTATTTAAGATTATTATAAAACATTTTAAAATAACCATCGCAAAACTCACCAAAATATTTTGGAAGACAAGGATAATCCATCAGTGGTAGGCTGTAAATATCACGTTCGTTTTGAAAATACTGCTTATTTTCAAAGGCAAAGGTCTTAATTGCAACAGAAAAACCATTCAATGTTCCTCGAGCAACTGATCCATAACGCCCCATGCCAATATTTTCTTGTATCTTTAGACTATCCAGATCAAAAGTTGAATTTAGGGATGAAGGGCCTTCCACCATATTGACAGAATCGTTACTTATCTTCGTGGAAGAAGGCCACTTTCGAAAAATTAAAATACCAGCAACAGTAATCACACACAAAGAACAGAAAGAGGCCAAGGCTATGATAACGGATTCTGCTTTTGATGCTGGTTCTTTTATGAATTGTGGAACTGTCAAGAAAAATTGAAAAATATATATGTTTAAAAGTTCTCTGTTCATAAAGACAACTTATTATTTCACTATCTTAAAGATAAAAATGTGGCTGAATATAAATATGGGCTTGAAATTTGTATCTAAATCTCTACCACATGATAAATAATCAACATATAAAAATTTACAAAACCAACATCATAACAATAATGATAATTATCAGCACTCATAGATTGTTTATGAATAATATATATACACACATCAAGGTGCATATGTATAAAACAAATTTGTATGATTTTATCCATATTTCACCAGCATTTCTGCATAGTAATATTTCAATTGTGATTGCAAACATAAATAAGCATAGTTTTCTCTGAATTTGTTAACCATGTGTCTTTGGAATGTCAGTGAATCACCAAACTCTTTCTTTCTTTAGAAGCTATAGGAACAACAATGCATTATCTATATTATCACACAAAACTTCCAAAATCATGTCTAATGCCAGAAATTGCTAATGAAAGCATCAGGCCTATTAGCAAGTCATGATTGTTTATAATAGAAATGTGAAATCAATTAAATATAAACTTCCATGTGCAGATCTTTCAGACTTTTTGCAAATACAAAAATTTAGAATTGGCAATTCTAAATATTAAAAAAGCAGATTCATTAGGTTTATCAAATACTCCTTTTTTTTGCCTAAATTCAAAGTTACTATGACAATTATTAATTACACAATGGCAACATTTCTAGAACAATTTTCATTATCACCCATCACCAATTCCTCTTCTATTTAAGTAAAACAGGAATGTCACAACACCTAGAATTACAAGCACTAAATGGCTTTTCTTTGGTAATTACTGAATAGATGAGAAGTCAGGATTTCCATTTTACCTCCATATCAAGGTTGTAGGTTAAATTTGGTTTATCATGTGGCTCCAGTGATGAATTTGCACTTTTTCTTTTAAAGTTACATCTTTATTGTAATTTTTTGTTTAATTACATAAAGTGGAAGTTTTATTACGGCTGAACAATGAGCAGTTGTATAACTGGCTATTACATACCTAAACAGTTTGTTTCCTTACTACAAGCAGTTTGAAACAAATATATCAAGAAAATTTCCAAGTTATCTCCTAGTGCAAAACAATTTGTAAAATAAATTCATTTGTATATACATTTGAAGGAAATTCTAAAATATTGCTGAACAAAAGGGTTGATTCTTGACCCAAAACGAAAATCAAAGCAATCAACTTACAATATGCACATGTAGCCATATGGTTATTAAACTTTTACTCTAAGCAAGAGCACTACCCAATGTATCAAGAAATTGTATAAACCATAACGAGAATGCAAGTTATTTGATGATGTACAACAATTTGTTATTTTCTAGACATTTCAATGAACAATCATGTTGGAGGTTACAATACTCAATTTTAATGGCAATGTTCAACCAGCACTAGAATAATGAAATAGACAAGTTGTTAAATATAATTTTCCCAACCAAGTTAAAAAAAATTAAATCGGATTCTACCTAATAAAATCAGATAAGGGCTAAATTTCGTAAGCTCAAAAACTACATCTATAAAATGAACCAGTAGATTCAAACCTACTGACAAGTGTTCTTGTTCTTGATCAAAAGCAAAAAAAAAGGTGTTTCCTATGATAAAATCTTGTTTAATTTGACACTTTTTAATTAATGACCTTTTTTTTTTTTACCTAACTTCTTGAGGTATTTCATTCAGGAACTCTGTCTCTGACTGAGTCAGTGTTTAAGTATTTCATCCAAAAAGAATATGTGAACTTGGCAATAAATATGTTTTAAAAGATGTGGGTGGACAAGCAACCTTTAATGTTTTGCTTGGAGAGTTCTCAATATAAATGTTTGGGTAACTCTGATTGCTATAGATAAAAAAATAGACTATTTTAACAAATCAAGATTCTCAGAAATGTTGAGAATGACTGTGATGGCAAATTTATAGCTGAAATGCTTGAATTTGATGATTTATTAAGTTACTTTATTCAAGGATCATACTGTTATTTTCAAAAAGTAGAAACATTTACTTCACTTGAATTATTGTTACATTCAGTGTCATAGGAATATTTTAACTTTTCTGATTTTATATTTAACACATTAACTGCCAGTAAAATTATCATCTACAGAAGTTACATACACAAAGAAACTGTTCTACTTATTGTATAAGTGTACAAGTTCTTATTGCATAAGCCATGAGATAACCACGTTAATAATCAGAGCCCAGTCATTCCTTTTAATAAATACAAGGGCAACTATAAACTGCTCTCCCTAAATACCAATGAGAGAAAATTTTTCTACTCAGAACAAATATTGTTTTTCCTAGTACTCATCGATGACATCTTTGATTCGTTATTTTGATCACCAGAATCAAGCCACACAAAAGATATAACTTTCTGTCCAGTGCTGCCAAATTTGTAATAATGCACAAAAACGACTGAAACAGAAAATCATGTGTATTCTTGTACATATAATATCACCTGCTCTTTCATAGTGAATGTTCATGTGAGATCAATACTGATTGGTTCTATTCTAGTTGACCATGTTCTACTGACCAATTAGAGCAGTCTGTTGATCTCCAATGGAAATTTGTCTTAAAGTACCTCGATTTGCACACACATCTTCAAATCCCATTGGCTTGAAAGTAAGTTTGCTACATGATCAAAGCAAATGAAATCCTCATATTTGCCATGCTGATTCTAGTATTTTCATTTTTTTAAATCTCCCTCTTGGAGTTTTAAGGAGCACTATTACTTATGATCCTTTAACAAAGTTAAGGAGTACGAAGGAGCTGAGTGCATTCTCACTCCTTAAAAATGTCCTGCAGAGCCCCCACTACAATCTAAAGTAAAATAAAAACTAAGCTTTTTTTTTTTTACAGTGAAAGCTATAACAACAACATACCAGGTGAAGCCAATTCAGATTCTTCAGAACTAGGGTCATAGTCATGAGTAAAATTAAAATTACATAAGTATCCAGTACAACAACAAAACTTGGTATTGTTAGTAGGCTTGGTGGGTTTTTTTTTAGACACACATTCAGGTGAGTCACAGTCCCTGCTTCCAGCATTCTCCCAGCAGCCTAAAAAATAAAAACAGAGAAAAAGGCATATGTAAAGTTCTTATCAAATTTGCTGTGAATTAAATTCCTTGTATTTTTTTACATTTTCAAAAGTTGTAAAATCCTGTAAAACAAAGAAATGGTAAAAGAAAAAATATAATTATTTACATTCATATGTGTTGGAAGCAAATAGATCAAACTTACATAGTTTCTTATTATGTAAATAAACTAAAATGTTTTAGGCAACTTCTTACAATAGTAAATATGAATCCTATACCTAAGCATAAAACAGCCAACTGTTTGACCAAAACAGAGGTGTTAATTACCTAAGAGTCAGATTACATGAAAAGTGTTACACAAAGAATATGGGTTTGATTCCCCCTTTCTTCTCCTTCAAATTGTCTTTTATACCTTAGCAATTTCTAATTTCCAATGAAAAGCATGAGACCAGTTTACCTAATTATGGTAATAACAGGATTAACACTAACTCTTTTTGGGGCCAGGGAGGTGTCCTTAGTATTCCTTTTTTTTTCTCTTCTCAGTGGAAATACCCAAATTGCATGAAATATAGAACAAACTTACTAACTACTATATAGTTTTGGCTTTAAAAAATTCATACAATTTTTATTTCATTATGATTTTTTATGTCATGAAAGTTGCCACTGCAGTAATAACCACTTCTAGCTATAGATCATACAAATTGCATAAGTGGAAAATGTTGAACAAAATAGTACATTTAAAGCTTACATGTTATAAAGCCAACCATTACATACAAATCAGAGGAAAAGTTAAGGACCAAAATGCATAGACTTAATCAGAAAAAAATTAAAAGACCAACAAACCTATCCAACTCTCAGATGGGTGAGTCAACAAAAGCAAACAAATAATTTTTCAAGCTTGTCCTAGGCATGTGAGTGTGGAGATGTAAATGTTCAGATTGAGCACCCTATTTGGCTCAGTTATTCCATTCTTATGAAAGTTTCTAATAATGGAATTACCCAATTTTGTGAACTCTCCAAAGTCCACAAACAAGACTATTTGCTCAGATGTACAGTTTCTATCTTGAGCTGAGACACTGAATTCCTTTTGAAGTCAAAGGCCTATTGAGGTAACCCCCACAGTATTTGGAATTTCTCAAAAGGAGTCAATGTTAAGAGGATTCTCCTTAACATCCCTGAGTTAGAGATTTTTGCTGGTTTCTCCAATCACAAATTTTGGCTGTTGGGTTAATCTCCACTCAAAACTCAGGTTATATAGTACTGATTTCTGGAAAATGCACAAAATATCCTCAATCTTCTTTTAATTTTTTTTCACCAGGTAATTGGTTTATGTACATACATAATAAAGTCACTGAGATTTTCACAAATTGTCTTTCTGTATAAATCTCAGTTCTTTTAACGATTACTTTTCACAACTCTTTTGAGAGTATTGTCCAATTTGGTAAATTAATGCAGTTTTATATCCCGACAATAAATAAACTGCGTATGTCCCTTTCTAATATTACCATCTTCAGCGACTATTGATACTTCAGACACATCTCAGTGAAACAAAAATTAAAATCATAATGAGAAAATTTCTACCCACACACACAGTCTTATTATTAAACATTAAATTACTGTAAAATATATAATTGAAAACACATGCTTGTTTTTGTTTTTAATTAAGCACAAAGCTATTCAAAGGGCTATCTGTGCTCTGCCCACCACGGGCATCGAAACCTGGATTCTAGCATTGTAAGTCCACAGACATTCCTCTGTGCCACTGGGGGGGCTAAAACACATGCAATGTTTACTATTCCACTTATAAACATCTCCAGTGTGTTCTTTTCAGTTAGAGCAGATGTAATGCTTGATTGAAATGTAAAATGTAAGCATTGGGAAATAAATATATTTATCTAGAGATAAAGGTCATTTATTTACAAAACAAAATCTTATTAATCAATATCAATTTGTGCTTACTAGTTTTCACATAATGTAAAATTATATCACAAAGCTTGACCACAGAAGTCTAAAACAAGTGAAATTATTCAATGCTGAATGTTTGTAACAAGACTAAGAAAAATTTATATTGCTTTTGTCTAAATGTGAATTATGTAACACATTAAACTGTTGTATGTCAAAACACAATACATGTACAAATAAAATAAAAATTCTGTTTCTAGTCTTCAATGTTAAATTAATAGAATTATTTAAAAGTGATATTATGCTTCTATAATAATGTGTTACAAGAGTATCCTCCTTCTCAATTTGATGGTGTGCAACATAAAAATTCCTTACCTTGTAAAAGAACTACATCATTGCTTGTTGTGTTAAAGTCACCTTGCCATACAGTATAGCAGGTACCTTTTGGACAATGTTGAATTTCAATTCCATCTTCGTAACCAGTTACAGTTCGAACTTCTTCACCTGAAGTTTCACCATGAGAATATTTCACCTGTGGATTTTTTGTGATAGCACATTTGGTTCCATTTGAAGAACAAACACCTAAAGAACAGTTTAAAGAAAAAAAGAAATGTTATTTAATATAATAACTTTTCTATTTAAGCATATGTATACTAGAGAAACAAACTGTGATTTTAACAGGTAATAAATAAGCTTCTTTTCTAGATGATAACCTTTTACAAATCATTACAATTTCAATCTTAAAAATAAGGACCTTCAAGCTTTTAAAAGCAGCTGAACAAGTACATAATCATAATTAAATTTAACAAGTTTTGTGAAGTCTGTAATTAACTGCAATTTTCTATTTTAATGATAAGTTTTAATCTTAAAAACATATTAAAAGATGAAAGAAATATGGAACAGAGACATGCTTATTTCTATATAAACAGAATAAAAACTTTTACAATCATGTTATTTCTCACAGTAGTTTCAATATTAGAAGTTTACCATGAGAATACAATTACTTTATGAAAACAACCAAACATTTGAAAAATTAACTGCATCAATTAGGCATTGCAGGACTACATTTATCATTAACTTCTAATCAAAGCAGATCTGGCCTAAAAACTAACTTGGTACCTATTATATAAACTAGCTAACTTGGAGGTATGCACATGGTAAAACAAAAACTAAATAAATTTAATGCCTTAATTCATCAGTTGTAGTGAACTTTTCCAATTATGTACTCATATCTTTCATACACAGTGAAAATAAATTTCATTCAATGACTATTATAGTCACCAAAATTATATTTGCAAAGCCTACAAGACCCCCTTTCCAATTATAAGCTGTATATGAAACATTAAAATTATAATAACTCTCTCAATGATAATTCTAAAAAATATAATGAACAAAAAATAGGCCCAGTAAAGAAAAAAATCTGTTAAAAATTATCATCAGTCACTTGTAACATACTGTCATACAAATTACAAAAGGTACTCATTGGCAGTGTCATGCTACACACAAAATGTATTGCCAAGGTGCTATTATATTATTCTTACTAGAAACCTACATACAGCCAGTAAAAAAAAATAATTGAATGAAAATATCTGTTTTACTGAGAATTAATGTCACACAACTGTCTGATCTATAAACAATCAATGTTCATGTTTTAAGTTACTGGCATTAGTATGCCTGGAATTAGTCTTTTGTTATCACTTACAGTGCTAACTTGTGTAAACCTTGTACTGTTAAGATAAGTAACTGTTTTCTTAATTCAGGGGAGCCTCTTCAAAGGTCACAGATTGCCAACCACTGATCTACACAAATCTCTTCCAGTCTTTTATAAATATCACAGACACACTTAGTATCCATAACTGAAACCAGCTCTGAAGCCTTAAGATTTATAATTTTCACCTTCTCATCTCATAAAAACACAAAAAGGTTATGAGAGGGAAAATCACCGTGGGAGGCATATCAGATGTAATTTGAGAATACTTACCAGATTATTGGGTATAACAATGAACAGCAAGTTATTCATTTTGCTGATAACCAGAAAGATTTAGCAAGAACAACACTATGCAACTTATCACACAAAAACCTGAATCATTACCATTTATGAATATCTACTTCTTCCAAACATTTTCATACAGCTGATCAGAAAGATGCACTGAGAAGCAGTTCCAGTAATGAAGATGGTTTCAAGAACCGTAAATCATCTAAGCAGCATGAAAATCAATGAGGATAGTTTAAAGTGATGCAAACTAAAGCTTTAAATAATTTTAAAACACTAGTGTCCAAAGCAGAAATCTGGGATTTCAAAGATCAGATATAGATTCAGAGACCACCTGAAAAATTAACTATACAGATAATGATTCTTTATCCTAAACAACTAAAATATACTCCATGATAAAATACTGTATAGAAAGTACAAAACACAAAACTTATCACAGAACAGTCGCAGTTGGCAAAATTCAGCTGCACTTCTTAATCTGTACAATCTTCCGATAGCCAGACACTTAAGTGTTAAATTATTTACATCTGTAGAAATAAAACGAATTTCAAACATATTTATTATTAATATATGTAAAGCCTTTCCTTGTTGGTTGCTTGAGAGAATGTTAAATAGAGTAGAATATACTTGAAATGCATTATTAATGGACTGCATCTGTTGAGGAAGTTTGTACGGATGATGCTTAGAGCTGATAATCTATGCCAGCAGCTCGAAACATCATCCAGAGAACTTCATAGACAGATACACATCATTAACAATACCTTTTAAGCACATTTTCATGCTATTGGCAAAAAGGTGACTAAATTTCTGAATTTGCTTAACTCATTGCATAGTTCTCCCCTCTGCATGACTTATTGTGCTTATATGTGTACTTCATAATTCAGATTTTGTAGTTGCAGCTGTGATGGAAACTTCTGCGGGTAGTGGGTGGGAATGTATTTGAGAGGTATATAGTTGTTTGAAATTCTTTTTAATTATGAAAATATAAAATTCCAAAAAAGCAGACTTACCTCTGAAATACAAAAAGCCAGAATACCCATATTGTGATGGAAGAGGGAACTGAAATGAGTCATAAGGATTATTGGATCACAAAAATTGAAGTTCTTAGGCAAGAAAGTAACAATCTAGACCACAACAATTGAAAATCTGATGAAGAAGAGTTGAAGAGAATTCAGAACCAGAAGAGATTCAACAGACTAGATCAAATGTAGAAATGGGCTATTTCACTGATTGATTAACTATGACCAGCAATTACATTGATTAATGTCACATAATTAATTAACCAAAATTATGATTAAATTGATAAATTGAAATTAGTATTTCTGTTTATTACTGTTTTGGATTATTCCAACAATCAATTACTCAAAATTGTAATTAAGTCAACTGTGCTTTGCCCAATTTGAAACTCAGCTTTGAGGAGTTGGGGGCTCATGATTCAATGGGCATGGGTTCAAAGTTGCTTACCCCATCCTTCTTATGGAAAAACCACTAATGTTATCTTCCACTATCACGAATTTAGAATTGCTGAATAGAGGAAAGGCAACTGTCTAGCTGCACCCACCACCAATGTTTTATTTGTTTGTTTCTTCTTGAACTACTGGCTAGAGAAAAGGTAGCTAACTGGCTGGCAACTCTTGTTGCAAAAATTTTTCTTCATGAAACTGCTATCAGGCAACATCTACTGCCCAATTTTTTTATTTTTTTTCAACTTTTGTAAGCCAATTGGTTTGCAGCAGGTTCTTGATTTTTTTGTTGTTGTACATACCATGGTTTGAGTAACATTGTATTAATCAATCAATGAGATCATCAGTTAATCAATTAGAAAAATAACATTAATCACCTAGCTCTAACCAAATGAAAACACCCAGAAAATACACTGGTTTCAGCTTCTGTAGTACATTCAGGAGTGTCCCTTCTATCCACTTCTTAGGCCATTTCTGTGGAGGCTGCCATGATCTGACATGGTACATCTGGCTATCCAAAAGCTCAAGCTTCAGGCATAGAAGTCATGCAGTTTTTCGCATGGCATAAGAGTTTTAATTTCTAAGGTTGCCATGTATCTGTTTCAGTCTTTGCTTTGTCCCGTGATGGACATTTATTAATGGAAATGACACACATATTGGCAATGGTGTATTGAGAGGAGGTTGAACTCACTTTAATCAAAAGTACCAGCCATAACTCGTTTTTTGACCTGGTTCTTTGTCAAAGGTTTTGCATCATCCACAATCATCCTGTATAAAGTGGTCTTATCGACTGCTGTTTGATACTCACGACTAAATATTCTGTGAGTACCCAGTACTCTCTGGATTCTTGAAGTAGGCTTGCTGAGAAGAATAAGTAGTTGCCAATCCGGTGCTATCAACAGGACCTAACAGTGGGTTGGAACAAACCATAATCAGTAACTTGGGTAACATATGAACTGGAGGGAAGGCCTAGAGTTGTAATATTGTCTCATCCTCATGGAATGCATCCATTGCCAAATCATGAAGGTGAGGTACTGGAGACCAAATTGCCAGAATTTGGGTCTGCTAATGAGAGGCCAACCCACCAATCAGAGTTGCAAAATGAGAGACAATCCAACATAGTCTTGCAAAATGCAGCATCTATTTTCTCAGGAGAATCTATTTGGGGTGAGACAACTGATCTGCTACCATAGTCATTACCCATGGAACATGGCAAGTTAGTAGGGTAATATGATAGAAATGGTCCCGAGAAAGTAGGTCCAAGTTTCAAAAACAAGGAGTCATGGATAAAGTGCCTCCTCGATGAGAAACACAAGACACCACCACAGAATTGTCAGAGTGAAGCCTGACGATTTTCCCCTTAATAAACCCAGACCATGAGACACTGCCTTTTCAAAAGCAAAAAGGAATAAAACATTGCATAGGGAAGCTTTGTTGTCCATGCATAGACCCTGAAATTCCTAACTGTTGGTATATGCACTCCATCCCCAAGGCTAAGCATTTGTGAAGAGATGGGACAAGGTGGCAGCAGAGGAAACCATATCTCTTGTGCTCTCCTTCCAAAGGCATGAGGGATTCAAGTGATGCCCACATTCCAAGATGAGAAATACCAATCCATGCAGCTGGAGAAGGAAAAGTAAGTAAGAGTCTGGCTTCCTGTTCAACAGCATGGAGCTGGATGGGAGGAAGCTGAACCTGACTGAGAGACATAATGAAAAAAAAACCCAGACTGATGACATATTGAATTTGAGCAAGAATAGATGTCTCAGTTCTGAGAATGAAACCTGCCTTAATTGTATCTGAAAGTAAAATCAGGGGGTCATGTTCTGACAATTGACTAGATGGTACCAGCAGTAACGAGTTGTCCATAAAATGGTGTGTGCACGGTGCTATGGAATGGAGGTGACAAGAAAAAACTTGTACAATTTGGCAGAACCCATGTGGTGCCAATGGTAGTTCAAAGGTAAAAACCCTGTACTGCAGTACCTGACCCTTGTGCACAAAATATGCAGATAGTGGTGGGATGCCAACACTATGGCAATGCGCAGATAGGAGCTGACTACAACGAACTTGGACATCCACAATCCGAGTAAAAAATGTCAACTCAGATTGAGGAATGGGTAACT